AAAAAAAAAAAAAAAAAAAAAAAAAAAAAAAAAAAAAAAAAAAGAGAGAGAAATGGAGCCGCGAATTAAACCCAAAAGAGTAAAACTGAAAAAACGGATATGATTGATTCTGGAAATCTAAAGGGACATAACCATGGCGGCTGTTTCATCACTGCAGCGCTGCTTTTCACCTCCAGTAAACAAGAAAGGCCTCAAATCCCCAAACCCATTTCCCAAAACCATTAGTTTTTTGTTGGGTTCGGTTTCTTCTGGGGTAAATCAATGGAGAAGGCGACCATTTCTATGCTGCTGCAATAACTTCAGCCAACCAGAAGAAGAAAAGAAACTGTAAGTAATTTGAAAGATTGAATCTTTTCATTTTTCTATTGTATTTTCTTATTGGGGTTTCGTCTTCTTTTGTTGGGTTAGTGTATGTATGGAAGAAGGAGATGAGTTAGGGACCAAAAGAAGACAAGTTATGATTCAGATGGGTTTTGCTACCTTTTCTCTTCCCCCAATTGTGTTTGTATCTAATGCAATGGCAGAAATTGGTAATGCTTGTCTTTTTTATTAAATCTTTGTTTGATTAACTTTGAGGGTATGCCACGAGTAGTTAATTTGCTCTCCATTACAGGTATCCCACAAGATTTCCGTCCTTATACTGATGATATGAATAAGTTCAAGATAATGATTCCCCAAGGTAAACTTTGAACTGATTTATCATATTTCTCAAGTTTCTATTGAGGGGAAGAAAAATGTGAAATTTTACTTTGATAATAAGAGTAGGGTTTTTGTTGATTTTTCTGTATGCTAGAAAACTTGATTAACTTGTTATGATTGTTAGTATGATACCTCTTTCTTTCTTTCTTTCTTTCTTTTTTTCTTTTTTTTTTTCTCGGTGCTGTTAGTTGTGCGAATAGTGAAAAACTGAAATTTAGGGAAATGACAGAAATGGGTGGTTGCTATGCAGATTGGCAAGTAGGGATGGGAGAACCAAATGGTTTCAAATCTGTAACAGCATTCTATCCAGAAAAAACCTCCAGTTCCAATGGTATTCATGGAGTTTCTTGGTGGATTCATCTTTTTTGGTAACTATTTTGGGGTTTTTTAACATATAAGTGGTTGATTCAGTCAGTGTAGTGATCACTGGGATTGGTCCAGATTTTACTAGGATGGAATCATTTGGCAAAGTTGATGAATTTGCTGATACTTTGGTGGGTTTTTTGGTCTATTTTGCTTGTTTCTTAGATGTGAAGGTCAATTACCTTGCTTTTTCATTGTTAACTGAATCTCCAAATCCAACAGGTCAGTGGATTGGATAGAAGCTGGCAGAGGCCCCCAGGTGTGGCAGCAAAACTCATAGACTGCAAATCTGCTAATGGTAATTGCATCTCAATACCCTCTCATATGAAAGTTGTATAAGATGAATGGATGAAGTTTAAGATTCTTTCTTGATCATTTATCAGGCTTCTATTACATTGAGTATACACTACAAAGTCCTGGAGAAAGTAAAAAACATTTGTTTACAGCAATTGGAATGGCATTTAATGGTTGGTATAACAGACTATATACGGTTACAGGGCAGGTATGCTTAGCAACAGATGTCTGTCTGTCTCTTTCATTACTTAATATATTCTCTACCCTTCTTTTGGTTCACTTCCTATACTCAATTTGGATGACTGGTGTGATGGTGCAGTTTGTTGAAGAAGAAGCACAGACATATGGTCCCCAAATTGAGAAGGTAGAATCCATAAGATTCAAAAAGGAATAGTGGTTTTTGAATTTCTGTACTGAATTTCAATTTATCTTGTCTTGCAGACTGTAGCATCATTCAGATTCATTTGAAGAAACGGTAACCGGCTATTGTTTGAGGGACCAAAAAAGAAAAAGGGAAAAAGAAAGATATTGCATGGTGGAAGCATAGTTGGACTTCTTAAATGATAGTATTTTGATTCCATTTATTCAAATGAAGGCTTAAGAAGTTAAATCATCTTTCCTTTGGGGATTTATTTTTGTCAGTTATAAAATACAACATTCCATGTCTCATTTATTTGCTCTCATTTGTTTTTTTTTTTTTTTTCCTGTTATCCTTTATTGTATTTATACCCCATTATCAGGTGAGAAAAAAATAAAAAAAAAGTGAATATTCAGAGAATGTA